TGTATTTGTTTGGTACATCTCATCACTGTCTCCTCTTCTCTCCACTCCTCATAGCAGTGTGCTTGGCAGTGCCAATTCACTTTAGACACTCAGAGATCTTCAGCAAGACTTTTAAAAGATGGGGAGTATTCCCTTCCCAACTCAACAACATCATCTTTCAGTGTGACAATCCCAGGGGTTTCTTCCTGTGAGTTCAACATGGTTATTCCTTTCCACAATGTCAGCAGCTGCTCAGTGGTATCCACACTGTGGCTCTGTGGCAGGTTGCCACAACTTATCAGTGGCCACCTCTGCTCTGAGTCGGGTTCCTTAACTGGAGGTTCGTGAGGAACTGGTTCAGCTAATTAGTCAAAGCTGATGCAGTCCTTCCTTTCCCTGCTGTGCTACTGCTTATATTGATTTGATTTTTGGTCTGAACTGGTTCTTGATGATGGCTGGCTAAAAATTGCTTTTTGGCAGGTGGTGGGGAGAGCTCAGTATCCTTCTGCTGGTTCAGCTCCCTGCATTGTCCCTCCAGCATTGTGGCACAGGACAAGTTCTTGAGCCAGTGCAAAAGAGGGTCAGGAACCAACAGCTGGAAGTGGAGCTGGGGAGAAAGGAGATGGCTGCAGCCACATCTTGAGCAGATAGAGCAGGCTGCCAGTGGAGGGGGGAGAGCTGCTCCCCCTGCCAGCTCCCTGCTGCTCGCCTTATGTCAGCTTTGGAGTTGGCTGAAGCACTTCTCGAGTTGAATCAACTTGCTAACCCAGTCAGACCTTTCGCTGACGTAGGGATTTGGATCAGCTTGGGAGGGGGCCCTTAACTGAGGGAGGGGGTAGAACAGTATTGCTGGGGTTTGGGACTGAGAAAAGAGGATTTGGGGGAAATGAGTGTCTGCTAATTATTTTAGCCAGGCTAAACTCCATGTCAGTGAAAGAGAATGAGTGTGGTGATGTTCACAGGGGTCCCAGGATGAGGGACGAGATAAGAATGTTGACTCCATGTTTCAGAAGGCTTGATTTATTATTTTATGTTATATATTATAGTAAAACTATACTAAGAGAATAGAAGAAAGGATTTCATCAGAAGGCTAGAAAAAGAATGATAACAAAGGTTTGTGACTGACTGAGACAGTCTGGACAGCTGAACTTTGATTGGCCATTAATTAGAAACAACCAACATGGACCAATCAAAGATTTACCTGTTGCATTCCACAGCAGCAGATAATAATTGTTTACATTTTGTTCCTGAGGTCTCTCAGCTTCTCAGGAGAAAAAATCCAAAGGAAAGGATTTTTCATAAAACACATCTGTGACAAATGAGCATGTTGAAGGTAGCACTGCTCTCACCTCATGGCACCCAGAGCTGTCCTGGATCGCTGAAGGTAGAAAGGAGAAAGTGGGAATTTGTGGAAAAGGCCACTGGACTAGTTAAAGAAAAGCATGACAAATTCTGATAGCTTAAAATTGCCCACTGAAACACCAAAAAGATTAAAAATCCTTTTTAGCCGGTAAAGTGCTAATTTTATCTTGGTTTGTCACTTTGCATCCTGTGGGCAGCAGCATTTTTATGCCTGTAATAGATGCCTATAAATCAGATAAAGCAAGATGCCCATAAAACAAGACTTGAGTGTCCTGGGGATTAGGAACTTTCAATAAGAGAGGCAGGAGCTGCAGCCAAGAGAAATACATGGTGTAAGAACTGGAGTTTGGCGGTGGGAAGAAGGATGCTGGTAGAATTCTAGTTGTAAAAGGAAGGCAAAAAAGATAATGTCTGGACTTTAATACTGCTTATGGTAAACTTAGGAAAGGTCTTACCTGAACATTGGAGTTAAGAAACATTTACAGGCTCAGTGACCACTACTGGCAGAAGTTTCTTACCATGAAATTTATTTTTGTTGCGGTTGAAATGTGTTGAACTTGAACTTTTGTAATTTTTGTGTTAAAGAAACATTTTTTCTTGCTGGTGGATACAAAAAAAAAAATCCCTTAGTTTATCACTAGACATAACTCTTACTCTTGTAAGTAAAAGTACCCAAAGTATTGGGTACTTTAATTAGAAGAATTAGCTGCATTTAGACCTCTCAGGTCACAGAGGACACAGTGATATTCATTAGTATTTCTGTTCTTGGTTTCCAGGATACGTGTTTCTATCTTTCAAGAATATGTGCTTCTCTTCAATGTATTGTAGTTTGTTGTAGTTATACTATATTTTGTTATTATGTCTATAGAAAGAAAAATAAAAACATGTAAAGAGTTCAGCATCTTAAAATAAAAACCAAATTGTATCTTTTTGCCCCATTATAACTTAACTGCCAAATAGTTGCCCAGCTTTGACAGGAGATGCTCCTGGACTTCTTCCCAGGTTATTAGCACAGGTCATAACTTCATTATTCAAGAAAGCCATCTCTCCATCTCTTCAGTGTCCTGTGCTTTTGGAGCTGGGACAGGGTGGGATCTTCTGGCACAATTTTGCAGAGATGTACTCAGTCCTGATGCTGCCAACTTCAGTAACTGGGTTTTATAGCCCATTGCAGCCTTAGTGTGTTCTGGGAAGGGCTGCAGGCAGTGGGGAACAAACCTGGTTTTTATTATTTTGGTGATGCAGGCTTCATTCCTGAATGTCGCAACAAATTGGAAAGCTGAACGTGCTCATCTGCCAGCCCTTTGGAATGTGTTACAAGTTGAGGCTTTGTATCAATGTGCATGAAGCTGCACATCCTAAGTGTGGCGGTGCTTCTCCTGAGTTGTCATTCAGCTCAGCTGTCTGGTTGGGGCAGAGGTGTTTGTGTTTCTCCTGAGTTGTCATTCAGCTCAGCTGTCTGACTGAGGCAGAGGTGTTTGTCTGCGGTCCCTGCTCAGCCAGTCTGAGCCCCAGCAGGGAGTGAGTAACCTGTGCAATGGCTCTGGGAGGCTCAGCAGTGCCTCCAGGCCTGGCTGCTTACCTGGTGTTCAGTTCAGGGCGTGCTGTGTGCATAGCTGCTCCATGGTGCACATAGGCATGAAGTTTGTGCTCACTGCTGTGTGGATTTACTTTTCTCCAAATGCTGGGCACGCTGTCTTACCAGAGAAAGCTGTGCCAGCTGGCTGCACACCCCTCTGTGCACTGGATGACACTGAGCTGGCTGTTAACTAGATTTTTCAGGTTACAGTTGAAGGCAGCCTTTAAAGAGTAAAGGTTTTTATTGTATTACAAATTTTTACACCTTGTAGTTTATGGTATTACAATTTTTTACACCTTGCAGTTTACTGAATACATTTTTTCTGGAACATGTGGTCTTCATAAGCAATCTGCCCTTCAAGAAAATGTACTGTAATTAATTTTAAATCTTAGGGGGTAGGAAATTATGCAAGGAAGGGAAGGAGATATTAAGAAGTTGTTATTAACTTACTTTACTATAAAGATTCTTCATCTAATTTTTAAAAAGTCTACCCTTTCTCCATGGGAAGATAATTTCTAAACTTGCATGGTTTTTTCCCCCCAATAAAAAATTGCTTTCTGGAGAAGGGAACACAAATACAAATTTGGTATTATTAAAACCAACAAAGTTTCATCCCTCCCTTGTTCTAGCTAAAGTTCAGCATAAATCAAATTATATCCAGTGTTTCTAAATTTAGGATGACAGTCTAAGCAATTCAGTTTTCTTAAAAACCAACAAAACTCCCACCCCAAAACACTTAAATAACTCATTTAATTGAAGGTAAATGTTAGTTCTTTCAGCTTCTCCCAATTTACATGTGACAGGGTCTTTGAGAAATTTTGTGATAAGATAATGAGGGGAGTAGTCTGATCTTGGAAAGCAACTTTTGAATTTACTGAAGTCTTTGAGTATTTCCAGTTTCAGTGTGAGTTTGGCTTACAGGGAACTGTTCCTATTCTGGTAGTGTGGCCCTTGACATTCCTGAGCCATGCATGTCCTTGGCTCTGTAAATTTTGACCTTTTGCTTAGGATAACCATCCTGCTGCAGATTTGAAGAATAACTTATGCTGAAGAATAAATCTGCAGGATCCCTGTGAAATTTGTGTGGTGACAGGTAGAGGAGCACTTATAGATCTAAATGCCTCTGTAGAACTCTGGTGCTACAGTTTCTGAATAAATGCAGTGAAAGGCAGAAATGTTTTCTGGTAGTGAGTTTTAAAGGGTGTCATTGTCTGGCTTACACAAATGTAGTGTTTTTCTGAACCTTTTGTTGAAGTAGGAATGAGGCTGGAATTTTCATAATGCTATATATAGCTTGTGGTTAAGCACAATTAAGCAGGCATATTACATTTAAGAAGCTGTCTTTTTTCATGGTTACTGCTTTACATTAGTCATCTTAGGTGTTATGAAAAATATACAGACAGGGTAAGCAAATAAAATGAAGGCTTTGTGTAAGAGAAGTAAGCAGAAATGGTTGAGTTGAGTTTAAAAGAGCTGTGTTGTCCATTCCTGTAGAATTATTTTTCTCCCTACCTCCAACACTCTAAACCAACTTTTGCCTCGTGCTGTGCAATGAATTTTGGATTTTTATGTACTATATGTAAAATGTCTGAGATACATAATTTCAGGGAATATTGACATGCAGGTGGCTCTGATAGCTTGACATGAATTATGTTTCTGTAGAGGTGGGGTGTATATTACTAAATTCTATCAAGAAAAGTAATCCTTGCTCAGGTGAGCCAGTAGTGAGTGCTTAGAAAACTGCTTTGCTCTTGTCTTTCTGATCCTTCTCTACAGAGCAGTGTCATTTGGACACTTCAAACTTCCATTTTCTTTGTTCTCTCCCTTCTTCTTTAATGTTATTTTAATAATGCACAACCCAGAATAGCGAGCTGCCCATTACCAAGACTCGTAACCAAGTTGAAAAGGTTCCAGCCGGTGCTTTTTAGTCAAACTTCAAAACGGCTCTCCGGTATTTCTTAATTTTGTGAAGATCTCTTAAATCTGTAGCTCCTGATGACCTGACAGTGTGAGCTGTGATGGATAAGAGCGATGCTAACACCTGTCTGTGTGTGTGTCCCCGTTTCTGTCCCGTGCGCAGCCGCCCCGCTGCTGCTGTACGCGAACCGCCGGGACCTGCGGCTGGTGGACGCCGCCCACGGCAAGGAGAACGCCACGGTGATCGTGGGCGGCCTGGAGGACGCGGCCGCCGTGGACTTCGTGTTCCTCAAGGGCTTGATTTACTGGAGTGATGTCAGCGAGGAGGCCATCAAAAGGACAGAGTTCAACAGGTCGGGGAGCGTGCAGAACGTGGTGGTTTCTGGGCTGCTGTCGCCCGACGGGCTGGCCTGTGACTGGCTGGGGGAGAAGCTCTACTGGACAGATTCGGAAACAAATCGCATCGAGGTTTCTAACTTAGATGGATCGCTGAGGAAAGTTTTGTTTTGGCAAGAATTGGATCAACCCAGAGCGATTGCCTTAGATCCTGCAAGAGGGTAAGTCTTTTTTAAAATACTTACAAATACCAAAATTCGTACTATTTCTTGTTTATAGGAGTGTGCCTTTTGTTGGCAGAGTGACAGAACTATCCCTTGTCTCCTCAAAAAGGAAAGAAGCCCAGAAGTTTCTCTCATTGATTAGGTGAAAAAGCCACCTCATAGGCCTAGGGTGTGATGGTGTTCACAGGGGTCCCAGGATGAGGGAAGACATGAGAATGTTGACTCCATGTTTCAAAAGGCTTGATTTATTATTTTATGATATATATTAAATTAAAACTATACTAAAAGAATAGAGGAAAGGATTCATCAGAAGGCTAGCTAAGAATAGAAAAGGAATGATAACAAAGGTTTGTGACTGACTGGGACAGTCTGGACAGCTGGACTGTGATTTGCCATTAATTAGAAACAACCACATGAGACCAATAACAGATCCACCTGTTGCATTCCACAGCAGCAGATAATCAATGTTTACATTTTGTTCCTGAGGTCTCTCCGCTTCTCAGGAGGAAAAATCCTAAGGAAAGGATTTTTTCAGAAAATATCACGGCTACACTAGGGGACTTCACCTCAGACTTAAAGATAGTTAATTGGACAGAGGCCAAAAAGTCCCACTTGGGGCAATTTATTAAAAAAAGAAGTGAACAAAGAAACTAATCGCTTTTGTAAGGTGTTTTACCAGGAGCAAGAACCTCTGGCACCTGGCTTGGGTTTTCTCTGTTTATTATATTACCTTTTTATTAAACCTTTTTGTTTTCAACACTGCAACAGAAGCCATCCTGCTGATTTTTATGCCTCCAAGGGTAGCTGAGGTATGTTATAGACCTCTGAGAGCTTATGAGACCTGGCTCGAAGAGGCTACTGTAACACTTGTTTGTTGAATGATTTCAAATGCTGTTGTCAAAGTTATCCTAAGCCATTTTTCATCATTTGTTTCTCTTTCTGTTGGTGTGATTTGCAGTCTTGTGAAGTTCCATTCATATTGGTTTGTGAGCAATCAGGAATCATCAGACTTTAGAAAACAGCACAAGAAACTTAGTTTGGCTGTAGTGCAGAAGATTAGCAGAAATGGAGAAGTTTTAGGTTAAAATTTAATAAAATCTGCTTTCCTTAAAAAGCTGTGTCAGCTGCCTGTGAACAGACAGACTGTGCCTCTCTCAAGTGTCAGGAAATGAAATTTTTTGGAGCTTTACTCATTGTTGATATTCATGCTTTATTGAAGCATCTGAAGAAATGGGAGAAGTCAACATACTGTATTAATAACAACTTGAGATGTGTTTTGAAGCTTAATCAGAAAATTTACAAGAGAGGCTCCTTCCCCCACCATTGGGGGAACTCCTGTTTTAAAAATCCTGTGGTTTTGTCTCAGCTCCTCCTAGAACTGATGTTATAGTCTCAGCTCCCATTTGAGCCCTGGATGTGGCTCTTTTTGCTCTGTTCTTGGGACACAGCAGAGTTTGCCAACAGTGGAAAATTCAGTGGAGTTTTGGTGATGTTACATGAGTGGCTGGCTTGAGGTTACCCCAAAGGCAGTCATCTGTGGCAAGGTGCTTGGGAGAGCCAAAGGGAAATACTAATGGAATATCCTTGATGCTGTGTAACCTTCTGGAAATATTTTATATCTCTAGTATAGAACATGTTTTTACTATTTTTTTTTTCCTTGAACCAGCAAGTTAATCTGTTGTACTGCCATTTTACATATGTTTTTCAGCCAACTCTTCTTTGGGGGTGACAAATTGTTTCTTTGGAAAGATGAAGGTTGTGTTTCACTGCTTGCCATTTCTTTGCATTATAATTTTTGTTTGGCTTTTTATGTCCAAAAGAAGAAAATCTCTGCAAAACACAGCTTCTTTCCTGAAATTCATAGAAACACTGTATCTTGAGTATTTTCTTCTACAGCTCCAATAGTTATTTGACAATTTATAAACAGAAGATGTGTTTATTTTCTGGTACCTATATTACAAACTTTGGAAATAACAAAAGTATGGATGTATGCTTTTTCCATGTGTTCCCAACTTGTAAATTGGAGGCAGTGATAGTGTTAGATGTATTTTACTAGACTCTGAAACCCTTTAAGAGTGTAAGGAAAGTGTAATGTTCATGTCTTTTCTACCCACCATCCTGAAAGTGAGAGATAAAGGAAGGAAGCACGCATTGAAAGTGGCTTTGATTTGGCTTGTAACCAGAGAGAATGAGATTCTGGTTGGTTAGGAGTAAAGCTCTGTTGTGGAGCCAGTTGGTCTTTTTTAGAACAGTGTTTGTATTTTCTGAATGTGCAGAGTAGTGTGCTCCGCAATCCCAACTTGATGTTCGCATACTCCTTACTCTTTTTTAATACTTTACACCAAGAGGAAAATAAAAGAAGAAAAATGAAATAGGTCAGAAGTAAAGCAAACCTGGAACTTTCTCCAAACTGATGATCTGTTAAAGCAGTAAGAGTAAACACTCCTAAAAATATGCTGAAATTTAAACCAAAACAAGCAAAAAAAAGCAAACACCAAACCCCCTTCCCCAACTCAAACAAAATCCCTCTGACCAAAACAAAAAAATCCCTCCAACAACTGTAATTTAAGGACAAAATAGTTTTTCTTCCAAATTTTTGAAGGTCACTTTCTAAGTTTTGTGAAGAGTACGTTTTAAGAAGGTAATGCAGCAGTAAATCCACTTTCTGGTTTACCATTTTGCGAGTTCAAAAACTGCAGTTCTCACATGCTGTTTTAAAGCAGAAAACCTTTCAGCTTTTAATAAATTTGGTTACATTTCAGAACACCCTCCAAAGCTTGAAATATAGGTGGAAGGGTGACATGAGCACAGAGATGTAAATTTGAAAAGAAAAATAATTCCCCAAATTGTTTGTGTATGGATGCTTCTTTCACTTGTATTTGCATATTTTTTTTAGTCCTGTAATTGTCTTTTGGTTTCAAGATGCTGCCTGGCAGATAGTGGTAGGGGTAAGCCATAAAAAATTCTAAGAGCACTTAATAAAATATGAAACCTGGGAAAGCAAACACCCTCACATTTTCCCGCAGTCTAATCCACCTCCTATTATACTCAGATGATGTTTGTTTCAGATACAATTTTCTAAACTTGCAATTCATGAAAAGAAATAATTTAGCAGCAAAACTTACACTAAGGTCATCTTTACCAATTGGTTCAGTTTTTTATTAAAGTTAAATTGTGAAAAATAGTTTATCTAACATAGCATGCACCAAGTGTTTCATGAAAAAGCTGAAAGCTGATATAAGTCCCAAATTATTAGTCTTTTCTGAGGTTGGATGTATATTTATTAAATGTATCTGTCTTGCTGAAAACATGAGAATGCCTGCTTGGAAATGAAATGTTAACAGTATAAGCTGGCAGAGATACACAGTGATGAATAATGCATTTTCTTGGAAGTGCCCCACATAGTGAAATATAGTGAAATTTCAATGTTTCACCCGTGCTCTGGTCTTTCTCACAGCTGCTGCTGTAGGACACTCCTGGGTTGTGGAGGTCACTGCTTGGTGCTGTGATGCTTTGGAGGAATGTCACTGGGCTTTTTCAGAGCAGATTACAGAAACAGCTGAGGCATTAAAGAATAAATGATTTGGCAGCCTTTACTTCACTGCCAAAACCATCAGGTGATTGTGTGTGAGGTTCTGTGTGGAACTGAGATGCTGGAGTACAAGTTGGGCTTGGTTCCCATGTCTAATATCAGTAATAAGAAATGCAGTGGATTTACTAATGGAAAATATTTCTTATTTGGTAACTGAGGCACAACAGCCAAGTCTGGGTTGTTTTTTTTTACTTTCTGTAGGAAGGCATTAAAAAAATGAAAAATCTATATTCTTCTCACTGGCTATCTACTATATATACTCTGAGGTTAGGGCTTCTTATTCCTTATGTTCATACACTACAACTTCCTTGTTTTACTTGTCTTGATACTCAATAAAATACTCTGTGTGTAGCAGGAGAGAGAAGGGTCCAAGATAAAGGTGAGGGGAATGGGGTGTTGGTTTAGCCTTCTTTTGAAGTGAGCTGCCATGTTCCAGGAAGGCTCCTTGGTCCTGTCCATCCTTTCTGGAACTGTTTTCCTGACTGGTGTTAAGCACAAGACCCTTTATAATAATTAATAAAAATCTGCAGGTGGGGATAACACTGACACTTTACTGGTGACTTTTTCCAGGAGAAGACCTGGAGTTAGATCACCAAGTGCAGGAGAGCACTGCATTTAAGAGCAGATCACATGAAAGTTGAGCAAGTAGTAAAGAGATTTTTCTGCTTCAGCACTCAAGATGAAAAAAAAAAAGGCATATCCAGATTCTTGAGCAAGTACAGCTTTCAAGTGCAGTATTGTATATTTGTTCTGCTGTTTTCTTCTTGTCTTGGGTTTTTTTGTTGTTGGGGGGTTGGTATGTTTGGTTATTTTTGCTTTTTAATTTGAGCAGCCCTTTTGTCATTATGGTAAAGATTTCATTATCATAGTTTCAATTCCCCAAAAATTACCCTGTAGACAATCAACTTTCTTCATGAGGAGCACTATCAGAATGAGCTGGCTTTTCTCACTTTTATGTGTGCATTGTTCACCACAAAGGGAATTTTAAGTGTCTCCTAGAAGTGGTGACTAATTGCTTGCTTTTCAGTACATGTTTTAAATCAAGTGACTATATAGAGTTACCTTAATTGTTAAGGTCTTGTAAAACTTTTGGGTTGTAAAGGGTTTTGGTTAATGAATGGAATTAGAGTACAAAGAGCTACAGCACTTTTTATGGCAGCTGAAGTTGATTTCTGGATGAAGTGCTTTGAATGCTGGGGAAGATCTTCAGGTTTAATTGGTACCCTTCCCCCAGCAGACTTGCATTTTTTTCATGCAAAATTTTGTAGAGAATGCATACTTTTTTTATAGACCTACTTCTTTTGGTTTTCTGAAAGTTGAAAACTGGTGTCTGAGCATGTCAAGCACAAAAGGAACTGTAGTACAGGGCTTACATCTTAGCATTGCAACAAAAGATTTGTGGGAA